TAGACATAACACTATTGAGCACTTAGTAGAATACAATGTAGTGTAAACATAAATTTCATATGTATGGGAAGCCAAAAAATTCATATGACTCCCTTTATTGCAATATTCTCTTAATTGTAGTAGTCTGGAACCGAACACGCATTATCTCCAAGGTATGCTTGTATATTGCTTTTCTTTTCTTTTTTTTTTTTACTATTAAAGCCCCTCCATGTTTTAACATATTAACATTTTATTTTAATTAAAATTGTATATATTTAAGGTGTACAACAAGATGATTTGATATATATACATAGTGAAATAATTACTACAGTCAAGCTAATTAGCATATCTTCTCACATAGTTTTTTTTGTGTGATGAGAGCATCTAGAATCTACTCTTAGCAAATTTCCAGTATTCAATACAGAATTACTAACTATAGACATCAGGTTGCACAATAGACCTCCAAATTTATTCATTCTTTAAGGAGAGCTATACACATAATTTAAAGACACCAAAACTGCAAAATAATCTTCAGTTATTATAAATTCAATAATCTGTTGTTCAACTGCAACTCTGTACCCTTTGACCAACATTTTCCCATTTTCTCCACCTCTCCCTCAGTGTAACCACTGTTCTACTCTCTGATTCTATGTATTTGACTTTTTAAAATTACACATGTAAGTGAGATCATGTATCTTATTTATTTAATTTCCACAAGTTTGTGAGACAGGTAGTATTACTCTTATGTTATAGATGAAGATATTCTAATCAGGAGATGAGGAGCCATGTCCAGGATTTAAACTGAGGAGTGGCTTAGCTAAGGTAAGTCTTCTGTCTGCAGGTCTAACCCTAATGTAAACAAGGATTTTGAAAAGCAACACTGAACCTAACAGAAAGATTTTAGCAAAATATTCCCAGTGCTACTCTATACCTATAAAATTGTTTCTGCAGAGTTGTAAAGAAAAATAAATAAATAAATACAGGCCCTAGGAAATCCTTCCATAAGACCATCTAGATTCCCAGTTGGCTCATCTATTCCAATGTGACATTTATGAAAAGCTCTGTTAAGTTCTATGGGGGAAATGTTCTGATTTTTCTCAAAGACCATCTCTTAATCTCCTTTCATGTTAAACAAATATATAATAAGGCTCTGAACATCAGGATATTGAATTTATAATGACTAATGATTATTTTGCAATTTTGGTGCCTTTAAATTATGTTCATAGCTCTCCTTAAAGAATATTATTTAGCAGCCCCTTGTCTATGAAAAAAAAAAACAAAACACTACTAAGTAACAGCATTACTCTTCCAATAAAAGTGAACATAGATTACCCCAAACCAACCATCTTAGAATTACTTCTTGGAGAACACTAAATTCCTACAAGAGGTCAGACTTAGTATCTATTTCATAATTGTTTTATGTGACATGCTGTGACATGTAGACATGCTGAGTTAACAGCTCTGACATTTCAATCAATATCATATCTTTTAAGGGACTTTGGAATGTAGGACTGCCTTGAATGAGACATGGACATTTCCTGTACTTCAGATCAGAGTGATGGTGTCCTGAAGGATAATTCCATTGTAAAAGACTGAAATATTGGGATTGACTTTTTACTATGATAGAAATAAATAAGAAATCAATCACAAAAAACTCTAGGAAGTCATCAAATATTTGGTAAACAATGCATGAGTCAAAGTAGAAGTTACAAGAAAAATTTCAAATAGTTCTAACTCAACCTGACAATGAAAATAAAATACATCAAAATTTGTAAGATGCAACTACAACAGTTCTTATTAGAAACTTAATAGCTTAAGGGGAGGTGTGTAGGGGATGGGCTAAATGGGTGATGGGTATTAAGGAGGGCACGTGTGATGACCACTGGGTGTTGTATGTAAGTGAAGAATCACTAAATTCTACTCCTGAAACCAATGTTACACTATATGTTAACTAACTAGAATTCAAATAAAAACTTGAAGCAACAAAAAAGAAACTTTATAGCTTAAATGTTTATATGTTCCAAAGAAGACTTAAAATCGGTTGTACGAAAACAATGAATCATGGATCACTGCATCAAAAACTGGTGATGTATTGTATGGTGACTAACATAACATAATAAAATAAAATTTTTTAAAAATCATAAAATATTTAACAACAAATAAGTACATAAATCCAAAGTAAATAGAAAAAAAATTAAAATATAAGAACAAAAATTCATACAATAGGACACAAAAAATAAACATTAATAAAACCAAAGGTAGCTCTTTGAAAGGATTAAAATATTGGTTAAAAATCCTGACAAAGATTGATGAGAGGGAAAGGTTGGGAGAGAGTGAGTGAATACAGCAATACCAGCAATGGATAAGCAGATATGAATACTTATCTATAGACCTGAAAGGATCACAAGGGAATGTTATGAACAACTCAATGCCAATAATTTTAGAAACAGAAGAAATGCAAATGTTCTTCAAAAACTTATAAAAATTTCACAAAAAGGTATGAGAAAACTTACTAGCCCTATATCATAGAGAAATTAAATTTATGGTTAACAACGAAACTTCACACGTACACACCACACACACACACACACACACACACACACACACACACACACACACACCTCTCCAAGCCCTAGGCATTTCACTGGTGAGTCCTACTTAATATTTTAAAAAGAAAAAATATCCATTTTACAAAAAATTCTGACTTTAGGCCTACAATTTCAAGTAACTGAATTTCTGCCAGCAATCCAAATCAGCAAGGAAACAAATTCTCCCCTAAGACCTCCAAGAGGTTTTGATTTGAATTTCCCTGATGGCTAGTGATGATGAACATTTTTTTCATATGTCTGTTAGCCATTTGTATGTTTTCTTTGGAGAAGTGTCTGTTCATGTCTTCTGCCCATTTTTTGACTGGATTATTTGTTCTTTGGGTGTTGAGTTTGAGAAGTTCTTTCTAGATCTTGGATACCAGCCCTTTATCTATAGTGTCATTTGCAAATATCTTCTCCCATTCCGTGGGTTGCCTCTTAGTTTTGTTGACTGTTTCTTTTCCTGTGCAGAAGCCTTTTATCTTGATGAAGTCCCAAAAGTTCATTTTTGTTTTTGTTTCCCTTGCTTTTGGAGACCTGTCTTGAAAGAAGTTGCTCCGGCCAATGTCAAAGAGTTTTCCTCTAGGATTTTTTTAAAATTTTATTTTATTATGTTATGTTAATCATCATACATTACATCATTAGTTTTTGATGTAGTGTTCCATGATTCATTGTTTGCGTATAACGCCCAGTGCTCCATTCAATACGTGCCCTCTTTAATACCCATCACCAGGCTAGCCATCCCCCACCCCCCTCCCCTCTAGAACTCTAGGATTTTGATGGATTCCTGTCTCACATTGAGGTCTTTCATCCATTTTGAGTTTATCTTTGTGTGTGGTGTAAGAGAATGGTCCAGTTTCATTGTTCTGTATAGATACCACCTTACACCCCTTAGAATGACAAAAATTAACAAGGCAGAAAACAACAAATGTTAGCGAGGATGTGGAGGAAGGGGAACCCTCTTACACTGTTGGTGGGAAGGCAAGCTGGTACAGTCACTTTGGAAAACAGTATGGAGGTTCCTCAAAAAATTAAAAATAGAGCTACCCAGCAATTGCACTACTAGGTATTTACCCTGAAGATACAGATGTAGTGAAAAGAAGGGGCACATGCACCCCAATGTTCATAGCAGCAATGTCCACAATAGCCAAACTGTGGAAGGAGCCGAGATGCCCCTCAACAGATGAATGGATAAAGAAGACGTGGTTCATATATGCAATGGAATATTACTCAACCATCAGAAAGGATGAAAACCCACCATTTGCACTGACATGGATGGAACTGGAGGGGATTATGCCAAGTGAAATAAGCAGAGAAAGACAATTATCACATGGTTTCACTAATATGTGGAACATAAAGGATAGCACAGAAGACCGGAGGGAAAACTGAAGGTGGGGGGCGTAAATCAGAGAGGGAGACAAACCATGAGAAACTATGGACTCCAGGAAACAAACTGAGGGTTTCAGAGGGGAGGGGGATGGGGAGATGAGGTAGCAGGGTGATGAGTATTAAGGAGAGTACATGTTGTGATTGAGCACCGGGTGTTATATGCAACTAATGAATCATTGAACACTACATCAAAAACTAATGATGTACTATATGGTGGCTAACTGAACATAATAAAAAAAATTTTAAATAAAAATAAAAAGACCTCTGAGAGGGATGCAGCCTTGCAGCCAGCTTGATTTTAGCACAATAAGCCCTGTGATAGACTTCCGATCTACAGAGTTGTAGATGATACATTTGTATAATTTACTAAGTTTGCAGCGATTTGCTACCACAGCAATAGAAAACTAACACAGACTAATTAACAGCAATGGGACTAACTCAGTAAATGAGCACCGCAGTATAAATCCTTCTACATGTTTCTTAGTCTGTTATTCAGAGATAAATTCTTCTTCATGTGGCTTAATATTGCTCATTGAAGAGTTGTGCAAGGAGTATTAAAATAGGTTTCCAACTAACTCAGGGAATTCTTTTGTGGGAGGGCAAGGCCTAAGGTCAGTAAATGGGTTAGAAGCCTATTCCTCTCAGTCTCCGCAAGACCCAGTATGGCTAAATTACTTAAAGAATATCTAATTAATGTTTACAGAGTAATTTAATAAAGGAGTGGCAGCATCTGTGTTCTAAGAAACTTCTCTTTGCCATCATTGCCAGTCCAATCTCTCCATAATCTCAAAGTCAAAGGAGGAAAATGAAAGAATAAATATTGTACAGAGCCTGGGCTAATGGCCTGAAGGACTGGGTTAGTGAAAATGTAATTTGTCTTGCATTGTACATAATAGCTATAATATTTGTGACACTTAATAAAAGTTTATTAACTTAAAAGTAGTGTAAATTTTCCCAGAAATCCAGAACAAAATAACTTTGTATTGTTCGTATTTTCAAGACCATATTTCTTTATTTACGGGGGAAATGGTGTGATGTCCTTACCTGATGTTGTGGTTATTATTATATCCATTACTATGCTGAAAACTCCTGCACAGTAGTTTAACATAACGAGCTTGATGTAGGCACTGGTATGACTAGAAAAAAGGAAACTTATCAGGTACGTGAAGGGAATGATAGACCAGCCAAACAGCATGAAGATGACCAATGTGTCCAGAAAGCGGTAATTCTTGGTCAGTGCATCCAATCCAGATAATAGGAACACCACCTGAGATAGAGAGTACACAAGTCAATTCAAAGTGGAGAAAACTATGCAATACCTAAGAATTCAGTCTAGTAACTTAGAAAATCTTCCTTTGTTAGAACACATAAGTATTTATTTATTTATTTTAAATATTTTA